TATGACTGAAAAATTTCATTTCTTCTGAAAAGGTGGTGTCTATTTACTTGTGACCACGCTGTGTACATTGATATATAAAAAGTTATTTGTACAAGTAATAGTACTTTTTCAATTAATATACTAATGTTTAAACATTTTTTAAAAATGTTTAATACGAAAACTGAATCTAACACCCCTAGTTTATGACGATGTTGGGGTCTTGCATGTTGTATCTATAACTACATAGTTACTTTGTAACCTATCAAGGGAAATGCATAAATAATTAAATTATAAATTTAATTTATTAGGAAAATGAGTTAAAACCTAGTTTTTTATATTCTTCAAGTATTTTAAAGTTAAAGTCAATATAATAATTAAAATAACATGAATTTAATTTATAAAATAAAACTTCTGATAGTTATAACTATTTACATAGTAATGTTTTACCTTTAAAATAGTATGATACCAGTTCACTCTTAAATATAAATTGTGTACATTGTAAAAAAAACTTTCAGTATTTTTTACAAGAAAGAGGAAAATCCCACTACATTGATATAGTATTTTGGATTAATCAATGTTGACTAAATAAGTCAAAGTTAAAATAACTTTAATATGTTCTTTAAATGATTAGCTCCATTGGGTTACAATCCAGCAACTTCGAAACTTATATCTTATTTCTAGTATTGTGACTGATATGAAAATAACAACAGTTAATACAAATTTTAAGTTTTTAAATTAAAATTATTCATAAAATCATATGTATAGTTATATCATTTTCATTTACTTAAGACATAAAGAACACAAAAAAACATCTTTCTCACAAGAATTCTAATTTCTAAACAAAAGATAAATTGATTCACTAAAAATCTATGTTATAATAGCTGTTGGTGTGCCAAACAATACTATGATAAAAAAAAATACTGAAGAGACTAGACACATTGTTAGTGTGTTTGGGAAAAGGCAAGGCACAAGAAATTTATCATAGCAACGTTTAACTGATGTTTATATTATTATATTAGCTTAAATATAATCAGTAACTGGCTAACAACTTAACTGGATTACTGAAGACACCAGCTGGGATTTCAGAAAACCCTCAACAAAGCTTTTATATAAATTAATAGCCCAATAAAAGAAAAACACAGGCATCATATTTTTCATTTTTGATACTATATAGTAGCATAAGGATGTCTAGCTGTTCTTATTAATTTCTGAAATAAAATGAAGGGGATTCAGACCCCCCCCCCTAGATCTGTACCTTCTTATACAACTTTAAATAATACAATTATTAATTTCTGAAAAAAATGGGTGGGGGTTGGTCCCCTCCTTTAAATCCATGCCTGCTTATAGAACACTGAATAATATTAATTCCAGAAATCAATGGAAGGGGTCTAAACCTGTGCCTCATTATACAAAATTGAATTATACAGTTACACAGTTATACATTAGAAACATAACACATTGTAGAGAAACAGTAAATTTAAACTTTTATGTGACACTTAAGTAGCCAGAGTTAGTGGTGGGCCAGTTGCCTTCCCTCTAGTTAGTAGTTCAAAATTAATGAAAATGGCAAATAGCCTTAGTACCTTTGTAATAACAAAGACAGGGAGTGCAAATCTAGTGGCAATGGGAATTAAACCTGAGACCTTCAAATCATAAGGAACAACATTCCAATACGTATCTTTGTGCTTAACCACAAACAAACATAACGGCAAAATTGATTACTTGGATAGTTGGAATAATCAAAATCAATAAATTATCAGAAACCCTAATTTTGATTTAACTTTTTGTGAAAATGGATGTAATTGTAATTTTGATTAATTGATTGTTGGAATAATCAAAACCAGTGATAATTAGAACAACAAACTGATTAACTCTGTAACTTGGACTTATTGAAAATGGTAATTTTGAATAGAAGAAATACTACATCACAAAGGACCTTTACTTTCAAAACAAATCACACTGCTAATTATTTTGACAAAACATGGTTTAATGCTAAGTATAATGTTTAAAAAATCAGAAGTTAAAGAAAATTTTGTTTTTTGGAAAATATATACCAAGATCAAGAGAAGATAACAACTTATGCTTCATTTGGCTGCACAATGGGCTCCCTCTGCTGTGCCCACTTCGAAGAGAGAACACCAACATTTAGTGTTATAAGCCCATAAATTTACTTCTGAGCCACCATGAGACAGCCATTCATGGATATTTAGAAAATTTTCAAAACTCACATGAACAAAAAGGATATGAAGGAAAAAAAATGAAATAGATCTTTCAAACTGTGTTTGAAACAGTCCTCTCAAAT